GTGTTTTGCACACTATAGAACTTGGCTTTTCTCTCAAGTATTGCTCACACCTTTTGCCTTTTTCCCTCACTCAACTTTCCTCTTTCAGTTCGTTATTGAACTTAACAACCTCAATTCAAGTTATTTTGCAGCAATCTAACTCCAACAAATCTGCAAGAGTTAAAGGAAATAGAAAGACACAAAGGAACGACCAAGAAAAGAAATAAAAGAACCAACCCAAACAAATTAAAATGAACAGATCAGTTCAAGCACTTCCTAGTAGGAATTGACTTGACTATTCCTTAATGTAGCAGGATTCCTAACATAGGAAGGAATAAACAAAATTGTTATCTCTTTGTTTGAATAGAATTCAAAGAAAATTTTCCAACTCCTTATCGTAGTGGGATTTCTATTCCTTAATGTAGTAGGATTCCTAACTTAGGAAGGAATAAACAAAATTGCTATTTCCTTATTTCAACAGAATTCAAAGAAAATTTCCAACTCCTTATTGTAGTAGAATTCCTTCTTCCAACTTTTTACTAGAGTAGGATTCCTTCTTCTTTAAGGATTTGACCATCAATTTCTTCTCTATATAAAGAATTCCAACCACAGAATTGTGTTGCTTGTTTCTCTCTCCTTTTTTTTCTCCTTTTTTTTTCTGCGATTCTTCCTTTTGTTTTTTTTTTCTACGACTTCTCTCCTCTGATTTTTTTTTTCGTGCTTTTCTCTCTTGGATTTTTTTTTTCTCTTCAGAACCAGCAACACAGATTCAACAGAACAAGATGAAAAGAGTTGCAGACAAGAAAGAAAAGAACCTTATTTTTTTTTTTTGATGTAAAAACTGAAAACTAAAGATACGCAAACCTGATTTAGAGATCTGATGCTCTGATACCAAGAGGATGAGAACCCCAAAGAGAACAATGAGACCCACGGCACGACAAGGGATTTCTAAACTCCAGGAAAGCTAAATCAGGTTTACAATAAGACCTTGACCCGTTGTTTATGTCGCAACAAGAACCAAAGGTAAAAACCTTGACCCGTTGTCAATGACGCAACAAGAACCAGAGGTATAAATTTGGTTGACGCCACACCCTCGAACGATTAAGAACGAGGATGATAAGTCAAGTTAGAACGCCACAAGAATAATCTTGATAAGTTTTGTAAAGTTCTGAAACGAACCAAAGAGAAAAGTCTCTCAAAATCTCAGATTCAATCACCTCCCTCAGTTAGGGTTACAAGCCCCTTTAAATAGGGAAAAGTAATTCTAATCAGAATAGGAAACTAACACCCTAAGCCCTAATCATAATAACCACGAATTGGGCCTTAAATAAATGAATGTTCAGCCCAAAATAATATAAAAAACGTGAAAATCACTAAAAGTAGCCTAAAGTAACATGAAATATTAGTTTGTTACAAATTGCGACAGAATTGGGAGATTGACACAAACTGGGTAATTTACCATAAATGACCTCAATTAAGCTTCTCTTGAACCTGAATGATGTTTATCATGCCTTGATAATCATCCAAGCTTCGATTTGCTTGTTGTATGTTGTTTTCAACCCAGATCTGCTCAGTAAGGCCATTTAAAACTTCACGCATCTTCTTAGCTCTAGCTCGCATGACTGGACTTCCTTGGGTGTGTAATGGATCACATGACGTGGTAGATATGCTGTCATCTTGATTCCCATCATTTTAATCCCGCCAGAGTCCTAAAATAATAACCTTAGATAATAAAGTAGTGGAAGTAAAATCATTTCTAAAGTATAAAATGTCACCTACAAAAAAAATCTACTTGCATGTGATTTTAAAATTATAAGTAAAGAAAGCCAAAGAGCTTGTAAATGGAAAACCATTTTAGCTAAAAGTATCTTAAAGGAAAATATTAAAGTGCTCAAAGTTGTAAAATAACCTAAACTAAGCCCATTTTCATTAATTTATAAGTTATATACATAAACAATTTACACAAAAATAGATGCGAGCATTAGCTTTTCAAAAGCTTTTCAAAATAATAAAAGCAAAACCATTGTTTTTGGTAACACATCAATTTGCCTTCACATTAGAAGCAGTGAGATCCTAGCTTTTACACATGACAAGCATACATGATCTATACCAAAAGCTCTTGAGCTTGGTGATTGCTACTCCAATCTACTGATCTAAAATGGGGGAGGGGGGAAATAACATAAGTTAAAATATTAGTAAGTATTAAATTAAAGTTATAAACTTGGGTCTTAGGACCTTTTAGATCAACACACTCAGAGAGCATAATATATAATTAAGCTAAGTTACATAATATTATAAGTCTTATTACTTAAATGACAACTTAGCATGTTATAGGATAATTCATAAACAAACAAATATGTCAAAGAAAAGCTAATAACAATTAATTCAAGTTCATATCATAACGCTAAATGCTCACAAATGGAATGTTGCAATCAAAATGCACATAATGAAAATCACATAATGCTTTGGAGCCCACTAATATGTGCTAGTAACACTTGTACAGGAACTAGTCACGACACTCACCTTATTGTGTAGAGGTCTACTAATTACCCTAAGGAGTCCATTGTACAGGATATCCCAATCTTTAAGCTTAGGTCCACTTACTCCAGAGCCACCAAAACATATACATGTCAAACATATCCAAAACACATCCAAAATAATATAAGAATATAATTTCATTTATTAATTCACTTAAATTTCCACACAATTCGCATTACTTAACCTCATGGTTAAAACATACAAAATATAGCACTTAATCATCAACTTAAGCAAATGCATTTTTAAAGCAATTAACATTAATTCCCTAATGCTAATTCACATGTTTCATCCACAAAAATTGGGAATTAATTTTTTCTTTTAACAATGTAATTAATGCATGAACAATTAACAAAATCTCAAGTACTCAAGTGCTCGAGCCACGGACAGCACTGAAAATTCCAATTAAATATATATAGATTTTTTTTTATCATGTAAATCCCCAAAAATCTTTAGACAAAATATGCAGGGTAACACAAAACAACAACAACAAATTATTTAACGATCAAATTCACACAAAATTCAAGTATAAAAATAAAATCCACTTCTATGTTCAAGACTCGCACATGTATCCAAAAATTAATATATTTCTAACAAATTCAAATACCTAAAAAGTCTCTTAAATAAACGATTTAAGATTAAATTTCACTAACGCAAATTAATTCTTCATATATTATAGTGAATCTATAACCTACCCAAAACTTTAACCCAAAACCATAACTAAAACTCATACTTAACTATGAAAATTATAACATCAAGTTGAAGCAAACAATAAAAATTGAAAGGAAATCCAACTGAAAAGTGCATCCCACAACCATTAGCACAACTTTCCTCACACCTAGGTGGAAAAAGAAAGATGCAGAGGAATGGCTTTCTAGAGAATTCCTACAAACTTTCTATGTCCAAGCATAACAATTTGCTTGGTAAATATAGTGCCACTTGGCACAAAATTGGGATAATGGAGTTTAACATCCTTAAACTTCTTCTAAATTTCACTTACAACTGCCAAACTCTAAATCTAATTAATTTAGTCCTTAAAATTTTAAAATAAATTACTCTAATTTATAATTTATTCACTAAAGTATATGGGGTGTTACATCCTTTCCACCTTAATAGGATTTGGTCCACCAAATCACTAAGCTTATCAAAATAGATCTGGATATTACTCCCTCATCTAACTTTCAAGCTCCCCTGTAGCTTCATTATCATTATGATGTTGCCACAACACCTTAACCAAAGGTATGGTCTTGTTCCTCAAAACTTTTTCTTTTTTTGCAGAATTTGCATTGGTTATTTGGTGTAACTCAAACCTTTCTTCAACTCCAATGGCTCATGATTATTGACATGTGAAGGATCCAGTTTATACTTCCTCAAAACTAACACATGAAACACATTATGCACATTTGACAACTCTGGAGGCAATGCAATTTTATAAGCCAATTCACCCACTCTTTTAAGAATCTCGAATAGGCCAATATATCTTGGACTGAGTTGTCCTTTTAAACAAAATCTATACACTCCCTTGGTTGGTGGCACCTTCAAAAATACCTGATCTCCAACTTCAAATTTTAGAGGTTTTCTTCTATTATCTTCATGGCTCTTTTGTCTATCTTGAGCCACCTTAATCCTTTGTTGAATCAATTTCACCTTTTTTTGTTGTTTACTATACAAAATCAAACCCCATTAATTGTCTATATCCAACTTTTGCCCAACAAATTGGGTTTCTAGACTTCTGTCATAAAGAGCTTTATAAGGTGCCATTTTAATATTAGAATGATAAGCAAACTCTGCTAATGGAAGATGATCATCCAAATTCCCAAGCAAATCTAATGCACAAGCTCTCAACATGTCTATAAGCATTTGAATTGTCCTTTCAGACCACCCATTAGTTTGCAGGTGATATGCTGTGCTTAATGTTAATTGGGTTTCCATGGCTTTTTGAAAAGATCTCCAAACTCTTACAGTAAACCTTGGATCTTTATCTGATACAATGCTCACTGGAACTTCGTAGAGTCTAACAACCTCTTGAATGAAAGCTGGCCAACTTATCCAATGGGCCTTCTTGTTTTATGGGATAAAAGTGATCTGACTTTGTTAATCTGTCCATAATCACCCAAATTGCATCAAATTGATTTCTTGTCCTTAGCAATCCCACAATGAAGTCTATTGAAATGGCTCCTCACTTCCACTTTAATATAGGCAAAGGTTGAAGTTATCCTCTTGGCTTTTGGTCTTTTTTTTTTACAAGTTGGCAAGTCAAGCACTTGGACACATATTTAGCCACATCCTTTTTCATTCTTTTTCACCAATTGTTTCTTTTAAGTCATGATACATTTTGCTACTCCCAAGATGGATGGTGTAATTGGACTTATCTGCCTCACAGAGCAATTCTATCCTCAACTCTTTATCATATAGAACACAAATCTTATCTCTAAGTCTTACAATTCCATCTTTTGAAATATGAAGACCCATTTTAGAGCTATTTTCATTATTTTTCATCAACTCCATCAATCTCAAATCTTTTTATTGTGCTTTCCTGATCCTTGACAATATTGTATGTGTAGTCACAAATTTTGACTTTAAAGAGTAACAAATCCTAGAACAGCACGATCCTCTAATTAACAGCTGAATTTATAAGGGCAAGGGCCTAAGCTTGTACTTGTCCTTCAAGGGATTTAAGACTTGCACTTGAAACTTTTCCTCCTTGACATGGATTTTAAGCTTACCCTTGGTAGGAGGTTGAAATCTCCATAAGTTAGAGCTTGAAACTTCAAGAATTGTTGAGGTTATTGTTCCTCTCCTTTTCTCTTTCTTCTTCCCTTTTTTCCCTTTTTTTTTTCATCAAATGATGGTCTATTTATAGCCAAAGGAGCCTTGCCAAATGACCTCAAATACCCTTCACTTTAAGGATAATTTGGTCATTTTAATATATTTATTTTCTGAATTAAAGAGAAAATATCACTTTAAAGATTTATTACCCCAACTTCCAAGATTTTACTAGGGTAAATATATCTTAACCTTAACAATCCTCTTCATGGTGTAAATTGGCATTATGTTAACAACAGATTCATCATCGATCCAAATTCGATTCACTTTGTGATCTCAAACAACACCACTCACATAAGAAGGCCTATTGTGTCTTTGGGCTCCAAGCTGTACGTCTTCATCTGTAAAGGTTATTGTTCCTAAGCACTCAACCTTAGTTTTTGGCTTGGCAAGCTTGCCTTGGAGCTTTTTTGGGTCTAACATAGCTTGTATGAAAGCAAGGCATATATCCCATGGAAGCTGCAAGGCTTTAGATAATTGTAAATCACATGGAAGTTGCTTCAATTTGATGAGAACCCCAAAGAGAACAATGAGACCCACAACACGACAAGGGATTTCTAAACTTTAGGATAGCTAAATTAGGTTTATAATAGGACCTTGACCCGTTGTTTATGTCGCAACAAGAACCAAAGGTAAAAAAACCTTGACCCATTGTCTATGACGCAACAAGAACCAGAGGTATAAAGTTGGTTGATGCCACACCTTTGAACGATTAAGAACGAGAATGATAAGTCAGGATAGAATGCCACAAGAATAATCTTGATAAGTTTTGTAAAGTTTTGAAACGAACCAAAGAGAAAAGTCTCTCAAAAACTCAGATTCAATAGCTTCCCCCAATTAGGGTTATAAGCCCTTTAAATGGGGAAAAGTAATTCTAATCAGAATAGGAAACTAACACCCTAAGCCCTAATCCTAATAACCACGAATTGGGCCTTAAATAAATGAATGCTCAGCCCAAAATAATACAAAAAACATGAAAATCACTGAAAGTAACATAAAGTAACATGAAATATTAGTTTGTTACAAATTGCGACAGAATTGTGGGATTTTGACGCAAACTGTGTAATTTAGCATAAATGACCTCAATTAAGCTTCTCTTGAATCTGAATGATGTTTACCATGCCCTGATAATCATCCAAGCTTCGATTTACTTGTTGCATGTTGTTATCAACCCAGATCTGCTCAATAAGGCCATTCAAAGCTTCTTGCATCTTCCTAACTCTAGCTTTCGTGACTGGACCTCCTGGAATATGTAATGGATCTCTTGATGTGGTACATGTGGGGTCATCTTGATTCCCATCATTCCCTCTCTCCTCAAAAGGATTTGTCCTCAAATCATCACCTACAACAAAAGGAGAAAGATCAGAAACATTAAAAGTAGCACTAACATTATACTCACCAAGAAGCTCCAACTTGTATACGTTGTCGTTTATCCTTGCAATTACTTGAAATGGTCCATCGCCTCTTGGTTGCAACTTAGAGCGCCTTTGTGCAAGGAATTGCTCCTTCCGCATTTGCACCCAAACCCAATCTCCAGGTTCAAACACAACTTTCTTGCGCCCTTTGTTGGCTTGATTTGCATATTGCTTAGTTTGTCACTTTATGTTTTGTCGCACCCTCTCATGTAGTTGCTTAACCACTTCAGCTTTCTTTTTCCCATCCAAACTAGCTCATTCATCAATGGGTAATGGCAATAAATCCAAAAGGGTGAGTGGATTAAAACCATACACAACTTCAAATGATGAACAATTAGTCGCTGAATGGACGCTCCGATTATAAGCAAATTCAACATGCAGCAAACATTCTTCCCAATTCTTCAAGTTTTTTTAAAAAATAGAATGCAATAAGGCTGACAACGTCCTATTAACCACTTTTGTTTGTCCATCAATTTGTGGATGACAAGTAATAAAAAACAATAGCCTAGTTCCCAACTTTCCCCACAAGGTCTTCCAAAAGTAACTCAAGAACTTAACATCGCGATAAAAAACAATAGTCCTTGGAACACCATGTAAACGAACAACCTCTTTGAAGAACAGATCAACAATATTAGTTGCATCATCGATTTTATGACATGGAATGAAGTGTGCCATCTTCGAGAACCTGTCAACAACAACAAAAATAGAATCGTGGCCTCTTTTTGACCTTGGTAAGCCCAGAACAAAATCCATAGATATATCAACCCAAGGTTCAGTAGGTATGGGTAAGGGAGTATACAAACCATGTGGTAAAACTCTAGATTTTGCTTGTTTACATGTTATGCACCTTTCACACATCCTTTCAACATCGCATTTCATATGTGGCCAAAAGAAGTGATCGTTCAGAATATCTAAAGTTTTCCTAACTCCAAAATGTCCCATTAAGCCACCTGCATGTGATTCCCTTATTAACAATTCTCTTAATGAACAGTTAGGCACACATAATCGATTTTCTCTAAATAAGAACCCATCTTGCCTATAAAACTTATCAGAAGCTGCCTTCTCACATGCATTAAACATGTCAGCAAAATCTAGATCATTAGCATATAATTCTTTAATGTGCTTAAATCCCAATAACTTTGCACTTAGAGTAGAGATAAGTGTGTACCTGCAAGATAATGCATCAACCACAATGTTTTCTTTTCCTTTCTTGTACTTGATCACATAGAGAAATGTCTCAAGGAATTCCACCCACTTAGCCTGTCGTCCATTCAACTTACCTTGTCCCTTGGGGTGCTTCAATGACTTATGATCAGTATGTATCACGAACTCCTTAGGCCAAAGATAATCCTACCACGTTTCTAAGGCCCTTACCAATGCGTATATCTCTTTGTCATATGTAGGATAGTTAAGTACTGCACCAATCAATTTTTCACTGAAAAACACAATAGGCCACCGCTCTTGCATCAAAACAGCACCAATGCCAATCCTTGATGCATCACATTCAATTTCAAAAGTTTTATTAAGATTAGGTAAAGCAAGTAATGGTGCAGAAATTAAATTCTCCTTAATCAAATTGAAAGCATTCTCCTATTCACTTTCCCACTTAAATCCGACACTTTTTTTCATGATTTCAGTCAATGGAGCTGCAATTATGCTGAAGTCCTTGATGAATTTCTGGTAGAAACTTGCCAAACCATGAAAACTCCGCACCTCAGAAATATTCTTAAATGTTGGCCATTCTTTAATAGCCTTATTTCTTCCTCTACTGCAATTCCATCAGCTGAAACAACATACCCTAAAAAGACAATCTGATTTGTGCAAAAGGAACACTTTTTAAGGTTAGTAAACAACTTTCCTTTTCTCAAAACCTCTAATACCATTCGCAGATGCTCAATATGATCAGTTAAACTCTTACTATATCAGAATGTCATCAAAATAAACAACCACAAATTTGCCAATGAAAGCACGCAAAACATGATTCATTAATCGCATGAATGTACTAGGTGCATTAGTTAATCCAAATGGCATAACTAACCACTCATATAAACAATGTTTTGTTTTAAAGGCTATTTTCCATTCATCACCTTCCTTCATCCTAATCCGATCATACCCACTCTTTAAATCAATTTTAGTGAATATGCAAGAACCATGCAGTTCATCTAACATGTCATCTAATCTAGGAATAGGGTGAAGATACTTTATAGTGATTTTGTTGATAGCACGACAATCAATGCACATAGCCAAGTCCCATCCTTCTTAGGCACAAGTAGCATTGGAACTACACCTAGACTTATGCTTTCTCTCACATGCCCCTTCTTCATGAGTTCTTCAACCTGCTTTTGAAGTTATTTTGTCTTATTAGGGGTGCTTCGATATGCTGGTCGGTTCAAAATTGTTGCACCTGTAATGAAGTCAATTTGATGCTCAATTCCTCTTATTGGTGGTAGACCATTAGGAATGTCCTCTAGAAACACGTCCTTGAAGTCTTGCAAAAGAGATTTAACAACACTAGGCAAAGAATCATTAAGTTCGTTAGTGTTGAAATAAGCATCTTTATACAGAAGCACAAACATAGGCTGCTTTGCAAAAAACACAGCCTTGACATCACTTTCTTTTGCATAAACACTCACTGATTTTCTCTCTTTGTTTTCAACACTCTCAATCTTTTCTCTCTTTTTGGACTCTTTTTCTGCTGTTTTCTCTTTGTTTTTCATACCCTCAAGCTCAGTCTCATTTCTCAGCTTAGTCTCTTTTTCTACTCCCAGTTGATCCTCATAAACCTGCCTTGGACTCAATGGTGCAAGAGTAATTGTTTTCCCCTCCATGACAAATGAATAGCGATTTTTGAAGCCATCATGTGTTACCCTCCTATCATATTGCCATGGTCTCCCTAAAAGTAAATGTTCAGCATGCATAAGAACCACGTCACAAAGTGCCTCATCCTTATATCGTCCAATAGAGAATGAAACTAGAACTTGCTTATTTACCTTAATTTTTCCACAATCGTTTAACCATTGCAGCTTATATGGCCTTGGATGCTTTGTCATAGGTAAATTAAGCTTTTCAATTAAAACAGTGCTAACTACATTAATACAACTACCACCATCAATAATCACACTACATACCTTGTTTTTGACATGGCACCTTGTGTGAAATATATTGTCATGTTGTACTTCATCATCTTCTTTGGCTTGCACATTTAAAGCTCGCCTGGTGACGAGCAATTCTCCATCAACGACATAGATTCATCATCAGATTCACCCTCGGTTTCAATTTCTCCATCTTCTCTCAAGATCATCGTGCGCTTATTAGGACATTGCGATGCAACATGCCCCCTTCCCAAGCATTGAAAACACTTGATGTCTCAGTTTCTGCCCTGCGTATTATCTGTTTTACTCTTCTCATTGCTGCCAACTTCTTTTGACTTAGATGCTGCAGTTTTAGGCTTAAAAGCATAATTTTCTTCCTTTTTGCTCCAATTCAGTTTCCAGGAAGATGACGAACCTGAATTTTGCCCAGTTTTGGTGGTGGCTCCTTTACGCTTGAGTTACCATTCTACTTTCATCGCCATATGCACCATATCTTCTAATTCCAAATAATGCTGTAGCTCTACCACATTAGCTATATCACAATTTAAGCCATGTAGAAACTGTGCCATAGTTGCTTCTTTGTCCTCTTCCACATTCGCTTTAACCATTGCGATTTCCATCTCTTTGTGATAAACCGCAACGAAGAAAATTATGGCAATCAAATGCTGATAAAGATCACGGTAGTAGTGACTAGGAACAAATCGTTTTCTCATCACAGCTTTCATCTCTTCCCAAGTGTCAAGAGGACGCTCTCGATTTCTATGTCAACTAAGCACAAGCTGATTCCACCACACCACAGCGTAATCAGTAAGTTCCACCACTACTAGTTTCACCTTTTTCTCCTCGGAATAGTTATGGCAATCAAACACCAATTCCACCTTTTTTTCCCACTCCAAAGGAATCTTCATCTTGATGCTACCTAAGTCACGATCTTGCCGATTTCCCCACCTCATCAGATTTTGCTCTCTTTGGCCCCCTCTACCTCTCATAATTTTGCCCATGCTGAAATTTGAGTTCTGGGCATCATCGTTGAATGCACCTTCATAATCATCATTGAGATCATCATTAGCGTCATTCCTACACAAATTCGAACTTCCATTCTATAATTGGTATAAATTGGCTATAGCTACATCTTGCTTCTCCATTTTGTCTCTAATCTCACCAAACATGATGTCTAGCCTCTGAAATTGTTGTTGCATTGCTTTGAGCATGAGAGATTCATCCACATGGTGTCTTCTAGTGGTTGATTTGTCATCACCACTTGACATGATTGAAACCCGCAACGAATGTTAGAAACATAAGAATAAAAGGACCTCACAACACTCCCTTACATGTTTCACTCCACTCTTTCACAAAATGGCACTCAACGCTCGTGTTTTGCACATTGTGGAACTTGGCTTTTCTCTCAAGTGTTGCTCACACCTTTTGCCTTTTTCCCTCACTCAACTTTCCTCTTTCAGTTCGTTATTAAACTAAACAAGCTCAATTCAAGTTATTTTGTAGCAATCTAACTCCAACAAATCTGCAAGAGTTAAAGGAAACAGAAAGACACAAAGGAACGACCAAGAAAAGCAATAAAAAAACCAAACCCAAACAAAATAAAACAAACAAATCAGTTCAAGCACTTCCTAGTAGGAATTGACTTGACTATTCCTTAATGCAGTAGGATTCCTAACTTAGGAAGGAATAAACAAAATTGTTATCTCCTTGTTGGAATAGAACTCAAAGAGAATTTCCAACTCCTTATTGGAGTATGATGCCTTCTTCTTTAAGGATTTGGCCATAGATTTCTTCTCTATATAAGGAATTCCAACCAAAGAATTGTGTTGCTTGTTTCTCTCTCTCCTTTTTTTTTTTTGCATCTTTTTTTTCTTTGGCAATCCTCTTCCCCTTTTTTTTTTGTACAACTTCTTTCTTTTTTTGTTCTCTTTTTTTTTTTTTAATTTTCGTGCTTTCTCTCTCTCTCTCTCTCTCTCTCTCTTTTTTGAACCAGCAACATAGATTCAGAAGAGTAAAATAAGAAAAAGAAACCCAGCTACCTAGCTCATCGGAACCGAGCTCATCTTTTTTTTTAGCGATCCTCTTCCCTTTTTTTTGTGTATGACTTCTTCCTTTTTCTTTTTTTCTTTTACTTATTTTCGTGCTTTCTCTCTCT